CGTCGCGTCCTTGAGTTTTCTAGGGCGAGGTCGGCGATAGTAGAAGGTTTTAGCGAAAATATACGCCCTACAGATATAATAGAGACAAAGGAGTCTGTTCGTTCGTAAATTTGACCGGATGGATTCTGACGATTGGCTATAACGGATGATATGTATGCTCCGGGAGAAGCAATGCTTGGACTCTGGTAGCTGTGGGTAATCGCCATCCTCGTCGGGCAGGGATTCTGTTTAGGCGGACTCGATGAGGGTGCGCCTGAACCGAGTCAAGGTGAAAACCCAGCGGATGCCTTTGAACTGTATTGATATTAGGGGAGGAAACCTCGTCCAATGGGTGCGATGACGGTGGAGGAGAGTGTAGGCAGTCGACAAGCTGTGCAAGAGGGAAGAGAAAAGAAAAGAAAAGCGTGTATCTGTTGGTGATGCATGTGTGAGGAATCAGAGTGCGAAGTGTGATCCAAATAAACTTTGACGTTACAAACTTGCATCGCATCATTGTTTCCTCATCTCCAGCTTATGATTCAAACGCATCACACATCATGCCATCAGTATTCGAGCTTCCAGAGATTATACACCTCCTCACCAAATACCTTTACATGGATGATCTCTACAATTGCGTTCAGGTCTCACGCTCATTGCATACAGCCTTCATTCCATTCCTCTGGGATGAATTCATGCTCATGCCAACCGCCGACATTCAGGACAACTTGTCCGCAATCAAAACACACGCCCACCACATCCGTCGCCTCATCTTTGGTGTCACACTCCCTACTGAGTACTACACTCTGCAGTTCGTGAACCTTCAGAGACTCGAGTTCGCCCGGAATGATTACATCGACAACCGCTACCGGGAGGAGCCCACAGAGCAGCACTTTCAGGACCAGATACAAATTGTTCAATCAAATCCGACCGTCGAGACTCTTGTGCTCAACGACGTCTATCCAGAGCCGTCAAGGGGATTTTGGAACATGATCATTAAAGAATGGAAGGTGTTGTATATGCTGATGATACGCCGCGGATCCTTTCATGGATTACCGTTACCGACCATGGAAGCATTCTGGGAAGCATGTGCCAGATTTAAGGTACTCGAGTTCGTAGACACGTCCCTACCGCTGACAACGATTCCGGTCGACTTCAAATTCCCGCATGTCAAGACATTAATGATGTGGTTTCTGCCCAACGAGGAAAATATTGACCAACATACCGCTGCATGTGGGTCGCTGAATCAGCTCGAGCTCGCAATGAAATGTCCAACCCTGAAAGCATTGTATTGGCACACTTTAAAGGGAATGACCGCCCCAGTACGCGAGTTTCAGCAGGCGCTCCTGAATGAAACTTGGCCACGACTAGATACCTTGCACCTCTCCGGTAGCTCCAAAATGACGGATGAATACGAGGAGCCGCTGTTGACAAGCGTTGTGTATCTGTTACCGACGCTGAAGGAATGGAAGATATTGCAATGCAGGATCGAGCCATTATCGCTCAGTCGCGTGTTGGACAGACATTTCACAACAATTGAGACACTGCACTTGGCGCTTGCAGTTGGAATGACAGGAGCAATGGTACACGAGGTGATGGCACGGTGTCCTGGATTGAAGCGTTTTGAGGCGCGGTATATCCTGGCGGAAGATATCTGCCATCCATCGTCGCGGCCATGGGTGTGTGATCGTCTGGAGCACCTATCTGTCTTTATTGCGAAGCCCGAGGGAAGTCCCGAAGGATGCGACCGAATGATCTTTGAGCGATTGTCGCGACTGTCACGGCTGAGTCAACTGTCACTTGGTGGAATATTCCGCCTAGAACGCCCAGAAGCTGAGATCCTGGGGCGGGCTGCTCAGGGATGGTCTGTGGACTTGACACTAAACTCGGGTTTAGGATTACTTAGCAGCTTTACGAGATTACAAAGGTTTGAGTTTAAGGGCACGCAGCAGCCGAATGTTAGGGTTAAGGAAGTTGAGTGGATGGTCGAGCATTGGAAGAGGCGGCCATTGACAGTGGTTGGAATGTTCAGTAAGAACGAGGAGCAGCAGAATGAGATGAGCAAATTCCTGAGGGACCGAGGCATCATATGTATTTGTTAATGCCCAAAGACTTAAAAAAAGAACGCACCGCGGTGCTCGATTGAAGAGTTGAGGATGACGGGTGTAACACGAATCACTCTGACTCGACATGCTCATTCGTGGCGGAGAGAAGAAATATAACGTGTAAATGCCTGCGATTACCGCCGATGGGAGTAAGTTAATGAATGACTACAGCCTTGCGTGCTACTACAGTGCGCCTCCTTGTTGTGGGTAGATCTATGTAGTCCACTGGACAACGATGTTCTGAATATAAAGGTGTGCCTGGATCACACTGATCAATGTTTTCACTTCTTTTCCTGTACTCTTTCTATCTTTTTTTCTCTTTGCCGCTTCGGTTACCTCCACCTCTTCTTCTTCTTGTTCCTCGCGCCCACCACCTTTTGCAGTCTCCTCGCTTTCGCGCCTGTTGAACCACACAAAAACACTCGTCCCACATAGTCATTCCCATACATTCAGACAAAGAACTCTTCCTACATGCAACTCAACATTGCTAATGTGAATGCAAATGGCCATGCACATCATCAAAAGCCATGGGTAGTTCAGAAGTTTGGCGGCACTTCTATCGGAAAGCACATTAATACCATCACCGGTACCATTGTTCAGTACGTGAAACCATATACTTATCCATGCGCATCCTTTGCTTATTTCGCAATTGCTCCGAGCTCACTTGGACAGTGCATGTGCATATGCCATTACCTGTGCCAAATGTCAAATGCCGAATGGCAATGCTGGTGGCCATGCAAAGCTAATGCTCGACTGTCTCGTCTCTCCACACGATGTGTGCAATAGGTCGTATCTCACCACGAACAGGGTTGCGGTGGTGTGCTCAGCACGAAGCAGTGAGTCCAAGGCCTTGGGAACGACCAACAGGTAAGAGACGCATGCGATTGGTGGCCAATGGCGTGTTTATCTCCCCTCTCCCCTGTCTCTTCCCCCACACTCTAAAATGATGTGATCTGCTGAAGATGAAATCGGATCACCAACGCTCAAAAGCACACTTCTCCCACGCTATCATTATTATACTGTATAGACTTCTCAAGGCAGCAGCATCAGCAATGGTGCCTGGATCAATCGAGTTCATAGAGACCGTGCAAGACATTCGACACGACCATCTTCACACTGCTCAGGAACACATCTCTGACCCTGTCGTCCTCAAGCGTGTACAGGGAGAAATCAACCAGGATTGTGATCGGCTCCGAGCGTTCCTACAGGCTGTTCAGGTGGGTACAGCATTTCACCTCGTTCGATAAATGGTTGACAGAAAGATTGATAGCCCAACAATCAATCTGTAATTCTCACTCTCAACACGCATTTTGCGCGTTGCCCCTTCTTTGCCTGTTGGTCATAGACGATTGAGGAAATCTCGCCTAGGTCAAATGACATGATCATGGCAGTAGGAGAAAAACTGGCGTGCAGGATCGTTGCAGGCCTGTTGGAGGACAAAGGTGTCGAGACCCAATTCATCAGCTTGGAGAATGTGATCGACGCAGTGTTTGATGTTAACAATCTCGACCAAAACTTTTATGACTATCTCGCCCGAGCCTTTGCAGCGGCCATTTCCAAGTGTGGGCATCGCGTGCCCGTCGTCACAGGTAATGCATAGTACCATTATTAAGCATTCTCATAGGGGGCAAGACAAGACAAACTCAACTCCTTACTTTTGATTTTTGCAGGATTCTTTGGTCCTGTACCAGGAAGTTTATTGACAAGCATTGGGCGAGGGTACACGGATCTCGCTGCAGCTTTAATTGCAGTAGGATTAGATGCAGAGGAACTCCAGGTCTGGAAGGAGGTCGATGGCATCTTTACTGCAGATCCGCGGAAGGTCAAGGGCGCTCGGTTGCTCAACATCATTACGCCTGATGAGGCTTCTGAGCTGACATATTATGGCTCAGAGGTGATCCATCCCTTCACTATGGAACAAGTCATTCGTGCACAGATTCCGATCAGAATCAAGAACGTGATGAACCCATCAGGGGCCGGAACAATTATTTTCCCAGACCAGCCTGCCTCGCAAGGATCCGCCCCCAACTCTGGACGCGTGCTATCACCGCCACTCTCGCCCAAGGTACTATTCCAGAATGGGTACGAGATAGATTTGTCGAGACGGTATCCAACAGCGGTGACGATTAAGGAAAACGTATGGGTGATGAACGTGCATTCAAACAGAAAGTCAGTGTCGCATGGATTTTTCGCGCAGATCTTTGGGACGCTGGATAAGCATGGGATTGCAATCGACTTGATCTCGACGTCCGAGGTGCATGTGTCGATGGCAATGGATGCGAATGTAAATGAGAAGGAGATGAGCAAGGCATTATCCTTGCTGAGGAGTATCGGGACTGTGGATGTGATGAAGGGGATGGCGATTTTGTCACTGGTTGGTAAACAGATGAAGAACCTGGTGGGCATCTCTGGAAAGATGTTTTCTACCATGGCCAAGGCTGGAGTCAACATTGAGATGATTTCTCAGGGAGCTTCCGAGATCAATATCTCATGTGTGATCCTCGAGAGTCAGGCACTGGAGGCCATGAATGTCATTCATGATGCGCTGTTGCGGGATGTTGGTCGGGACCCAGAGGCACACTTTTCATAGAGGCCACAACAAGAGGACAGCAAAAACTGATAGAAGAACAGAACGCATAGACGAAAGTGACAAGAAACATGCACACTTTCTATTTCACTGAGCGAACAGAATTTAGTGCTTACACACCTGACAATACAAACCTGGCACACCAAATTCACTTCATTCCAATGGATACCAGTTGATGTTTCTTTGGGCGTTGTGCTCATTGCTCATATTCAGATGGCACACAGATAAAAGCACACAGATAAAAGCACCAAGATTTGCATGGCGTAGAATATGGTGGCGCGGTCGAAGAGGCGATATATAAACGCAACAAACAAAACGCTGGGGGCGCAAAAGGGAGGGGGAGGGATTTGAACCCACGACTACTTCTCAGTAGACCACATGATAATTGTTACAGTTGTATGGTATGCAGCGCCTTGGACCACTCGGCCACCCCTCCGTTTCACTTGTGAACGCTTTTTACACCTTGCCTTTTGATGGATGCATTTCGTCAAAGCACATCCCAAAAAGGCAGACAATTGTGACTTGCAAAAATGTGACTTTCATTTTATGCAGAGTGAAAAAATCCCATTTGCCGCCTTGTACATTAATTCTCATTCACCAACCCCAAGTCTGTCGACAGATATCCACCATTTTATTCCTTATTGTATGTTCAGATACAATTACCACACCATGCTGAAGTCAATAGACGCTGGAGGTATAGAATCATGTTATATAGTATTACACGACGGCTTTCCTCAGCGATATCGAGATGTCAATTGCATCGTTGAAGTATTTTCAGAGGACTAAAGCGAAGTCAAAGGTTAAAGAATAATAGATTGGATTCAAATGATGAGGGACCTGACTCGACATCCTCCTCTGAGTCTGATATAGAGGACGACTTTGCTGACAATTCAGATGGCAATGATGGAGAACGATCCATAGTGGATTATGAGATTATGAGGAGTCATATGTCAGGAGTCGTGTATTACCACATAGTATGCCGGCGCGTAACATAACCAAAAGGTAAGAAACGTCTCGGTGATGACGTTGGCAATGTGTTATATTCTCAACAAGTTCTCCTCGATTGTGCCTAGCATGATATAGTTATTCGAATGAAGGGTAGCCAAATGCGCGTCTCTTACATACATGTCCAAGCTATATTAAATACTCCCTTAGATAGCTAACCATAGAAACCTCAATCTGCAATACAACTATCCCTTGTCATATCCCACAATCTTCCTTCTCACTTATCTTCTGCCTGCCTTGTTTCTGACAACTATTAGCATCCCCATCCATTGAATCCTCCTCATGTACTTTCCCCTGCCGCGTGTGATCCTGCATACAGACCACGTCCAAGAGTCGAACCCTTTATTGTATGTGGCCTTTGTTGCAAAATGCTAAAAGCAATCGCATGGTCCCCAGAGAAATACGGAAGCAAACAAAATGACTTGGAAACGCGAACTTCCTCTAACATTCTGTTCCCAGTTCACATCTTGCCATTTCTTGCCTTGACATACTTGTACTATTATACAATAGATCAGTTGAGAGAACTGTCCGTTCGGATTTTGAAGGAAAAATAAATTTAATTTAGGCCAAAGACCTCTCGATGACTTGACGATCAAAAACTTCGGGCTCTTTTGTCATTCCAGAACACTTTATCACTCTCATAAATGGAGTAAATATTCTCCAGTTAGAATATCGGCTGCCTTCACCTTAGACTCACATTCCGCCTTGTCGCAAACCGAGCCCCGACCCTTCCTAGTCCTCATGAGAAGATTCGCTCTAGACCCTGGTAGAGGAATGTGAATGGAGTGTGAATGGAGTGTGAATGGAGTGTGAATGGAGTGTGAATGGAGTGTGAATGGGCAAACGGAATCGGGCCCATTGACCTGCGCGAGTCCTAATAGTGGGCTCCTTCTCTTCTCTTCTCTTCGACCGGTCTTCGTCCCTTCAGAGGTACAGTATAGTTCGTCCAAAAAGGGCTTGCCCACCAAGCTCAGAACCCACCTGGCTTCCACACTCGCGCCTCCTGTCGGGTAGCCCTTGCATCACGTAAATAGTCCATTGTCATACAGTAACACATAGACCCTCAGTCTGCAATACAATTCCTTCCTTGTCTCGTAGTATCTGTTACTCCCTGCCCTCACCTCCAGTAATCTGTCTGTCGGCCTTTGACACGCCTCCATAATATGACACAATGAATAGCTTTATTGCTAGGCTTTTCCAACACACCGCTGTGCGCACTTCACTTGTCCTTTGCGGCGGACGCGTCCTTGGGACCACTTGTCGAGTCTTGATCTCCAGGTGAGGCCTCAGTGTTCCCAGACGAGGCACCAGGACCACTAACCAAGGCTTCAGGAACTCCAGACGAGGACTGAGGAACTTCAGATGACGCCTCAGTGCTCCTAGGCGAGGTGCCAGAACCACTACCCAACTCTTCAGGAACTCCAGGCGAGGACTCAGCAACGTCAGATGACGCCTCAGTGTCCTCAGGCGAGGCGCCAGAACCACTAGACGAGGCCTTAGTATCTTTAGGCGGGGCAACATAGCTCGCAAAGGAGTCGCGCATGTTGAAGAGACCGTCGTTGTATCTTTCAGCAGAGTGCGAGGGTAGGCCAAAAAGCAATTTTCCTGAAGATGTCATCCATCTGAACGGAGCCCGGGTTTTGTCGAGGAGTTTCCAAAACGATCCTTTATCGTTGTTCGGTGCCCTGGACCGTAAGGTATTTTGGATCATTACATTTTCATCTTCATCTGCCAAACCGACGCCAGATGCACCTTGTGATGCTGACGGCATTACGGTGGGAAGCTTGATGGTAGGTTGCTGTTTGCTGTCGCTCGGAAATTGGACAAGATACCCAACATGTTGGTAGTCCAGCAGTGAACTCTTGCGCCCAAAAGCTGGTGACTCTGGCTTGTACCCATCTAGTCCAAGAGGTGATCTGGTCACTATACTCATCCCAAAGACAGAAAGTTGATGTCAGCATCTCACGTCGATTAAAAAGAAAGTCTTTGACAGAGTCCTGCTCGACTTTGATATTACCTGGATCGTATTCATTTGTAATGCGCCAGTACGCTGGCTTGTAGGCTCCCTTGGCTTGGATGTTCTTCTGGTTCTTGGCAAACGTTTCTGCAAATTCTGTGTCCCCAACCTTGGGGCTCCCAAACGTGTAACAGTCTCGTAGGATCACCAGACTCGTTTTCCGGACCTCTTTGCAGTCCTTGCAATACTTCCCAATGTTGCAGGAATTGCAGTCGCCGCACTCACCACAGTAGCTGTCGCAGCTTTCACATTTGTGCATCCTGACACCTTCCTGATCCATGCTATCCTTGCATACCTCACAGCCCTCGACCATCCTGGTAATCGCCTTGCCCACCTTGTCCTGCTTGCTTCGCTGGCATGGATCGCAGTCATCACGCCCTCTCTGTTTCATTCTCGTCCTCAATATCTTGCAGTAGCGGCAATTCTTGCAACTTTTCCACTCTTCGGGATCACAGTCGTCGCAGTTCACGCAAGCGGAGAAGAACAAGTAGCTCTTGAGGAACTGAGAGATCATAACGTCAAATACAGTGGATCCCGCGAAGAACTCCTGATCCTCTTCGTTCAAACTCCGTACCAGTGGATCGTTCTTATCGACAACGGTCTGCAAACGTGCCATAACCAGGGATGCCAAGGCACCACCAAGAGAATGTCCCGTTATCCATAG